TTCCTGCACAGGCCAAGTATCTTTGTTGTGAGTTCTACTTTATACACATAAAGAGTTTCCCATTAAGACAAGTTCTGCAGAGAATCTAAAGCCGCCACCCAAGAAAGTCCTTTATATTATAAACTTCCTAACTCAGGGGACTGTGGGGCCCAAAGACAGTGGGAATCACAAAGACTATCATCTTCCCTGTAAGGAAGAGAGAGATGACTTGCAAGTCTAGAGGATTTTGTTGGAGACAATGCAGATGCGGGCGGGGAGAAGGAAAGGGTTATTTCAACCTATCCCAATGCTGGTTTGGGGGGTGAAGGGTGGGGCAGGGCTCACATTGTTGTTGTAATCTGTCGTAGCAGCAGCACCTAGAACCTCATAATAGCGCTGCAGGAAGGGCTGGAGGCGGCTCTCAAGCCGCTGTAGCTCCTGAAGTACCTCCACGTACTCTGCAGGCGAAGGATGGCTGTGGGAAAGCCCAACAGGCAGTGAGCTAAGGCTTTCCTCAAATTCCCTACCGGACATCTGCCCTGCCTCTCCCTGGCTGCCCAAACCTGTGGCCCAATCCCTTCCAGGACTAGCAGAGCTTCTGTTTGTTTCCCCACTTACAAGATGACAAGAGAAAAACAAATCGCTTCCACCTCCCCCACCAAACAGCTTAGTAACTACAGTGGCAAGAAAGAAAATCTAACAAGTCAAAGTTAGGGCCTCCCTGGTGGCGCAGGTGGTTGAGTGCAGCTCTGTGAAGCTGACTGCAGCCTCTGCAGTGCCGGTTCGATCCCCGCTGGCCACAGATACTCCCACATGGCGTGACAGACCTCTCCTGTCTCACCCGCTGCTCCCCTCAGCAGTGTGTTTCCGTCTGTCTGCCTGTTTTGTTCCCCGCTCTTTCTCTGATGAATCCTCTCACCCTCCCGCACAACTGGCTTGTACCCCAGCTCTTGTATAAAAATAAATCATTTTAAAAATAAATAAATAAAATAAAAATTCAGCGTCTGTGTAAACTCAGGGGAGAGGATCTTGACCAGGCCAAGTAAGCACCAGTCAGATTTCCCTGTGCCAGAGAACACAGTGCCTCTGGATCAGCTGCCAGTCCTACCCTCAGTTCCCTACTCATAGCCTCTGCCTGCCTCTCAACACTGACCCTACAAGACCTTGAGGCAATCCTTCCACTCCTAGTGTATTTTTCCTGGAGCCTCATACTCCACTCAAGATTCCTGAACCCCTTCCCACATGTCCCCGCCAGCTCTCACTTGGGCGCATTTGTCTCTGGTACAGGTGTTGGGCCCACTGGGGCTGGGCCAGAAGGTGTGAGTTCTGGGCTCTGGGCTGGGGCACGCTCCTCTACTTCTTCTGCCTCCATGGGCTCCCGAGGAGGCACTTCACTTTCCACTGGTTCTGATGTTCGAGAGCTCAAGGCTACTGGCTCTGGAGCCACAGTTGGCGTCTGTGGGGGCGGCTGACTGTGCTGTGCTTGGGTCCCCCCTCGACACTGAAGGTGGAGGAGAATCAGGACACCAAAGGCAAGAGGCAGAGGATTACACGGGTTAAAGAAGAGTAAATGAAGACCACTGTCCTAACTAGGTTCCGTGAAGGCAGGAACGTGTACCTTTGACTCCCTTAGCAAGCAACGTAAGATTAACACCAGTTATGTGTGCAAGTAACATCTGTAATACTTGCGAAGAGACTACTAACAGAGAGCAGGGATTAGTTTCTTAGTCTCCACAGGGAGAAAAAAAAGAGCCACAGATTGCAGCTCCAATACCAACCAATGAAGTAAAAAAATGCTAGGATCAAATGTAACAATGAAGTTAAAAAGCACAGAATTCTTTAATTCAGAAGACATGTCATGAGTTATACGACTAGTATGAAACAAACTTCCCAGACACCAGGCACCAAGAGGACTGGCAAGGACAAGATAACCTCACAGAGATACTTTTTCTGCCCAGAAGAATAAAGATTAGAAAGAAGAGACCAGATTAGGAAGGCAAAATCCAGGGGATGTAGCCAGTCATGCTCTCACCCCCAGGCTGAAGGAACAGGGGCAGGGAGGATAGGGAGAAAAATAAAGACTCACCTCCATCCGGGACAATAAGGTCTGTATATCCCTGATCATGTGCTGAGCCATCACCAGACGTACTCGGGGCTCACTCTAAAATAAGAGAGGGAAGATCAGGGTGGGTTTAAGATGAAGCCATAAACTCCACCATCTACTAAACCAGTCATCTCCTCAGTCAAGTCCACCCCCACCTCATGGCCTCCTTCTCCCAGATCCCCTTCCCTGACCCTCCCAGGCCCCGTGATACCTGAATTGGGGCCTGTTCCATGTTGATGTGAACATCCACAGCAGAGCCGTCACTCTGGGGAAAGGGTAAGGGAAGTTGCTCTGGGAGAAGTCAAATGCTAAGGTCCCCACGCTTCCAACTTATTCTCTAGAGCCCCAGCCCTTTTCTCCTCAAAGACTGCGGCCATTATCAGTCCACAGGGTCCTCCAAACCCAATCTAAAGACTGAGACACCTATTTTGTGAGCTCTCTCAACCAAACCTAGCATTCCCCCAGAAAGACCCTCCCATAACGTGGAACACAAGCTTACAGGAAGATTGAAGGTTCCAACCATGACATAGCTGTTGGCATTCCGGTCATGAACAGAGGGCCCAGGTCCCCGAGTACCAGGTGAGGGTCCCCCACCATGAGTGGCCGAAGCAGACCCTGTCCCAGAAGATGCCCCAGAAGGGAGTTGAGTCTGAGGAGGAGCCCGTTCCACCAGGTGGATGACCTTTCCTCCAACATCTGCAGGAAAAAGAAGATACATACCAAAACATTTTATCTGGTAAACCCATAGCCTCAGCGCATCCCTCCTGAGAACAGCCTCAACCTCTGAACTGCCTCCCACACTCCCTTACTGTATTCCTGGAGCTTCTTATCATCCTGCAGAACTCGTCCCTGGTAGATGAGCCGTTGTTTCTCAGAGGGAATGCTGACAGAGGCAGCAATGTGTTCCTTAAACTCCTTTACATTCATCTGCAAGAAGGAAAAATAACAGAACCAATCAATACCTCAAACTTATATAATGTCATAACGCAATGTTACTACAGTAAAAATCGGGAAATGGAGAAAAGACGAAGAACAGAAGAGAAACAAATGGCTTGCCAGAGCGAGAGGGTAAAAAGCACACCGTCATAAAAGCACTACTCATTTATCTTGGTTGTGAGGTAATTATCAGGCAAAACCCTGAACTAAAACAATACCTGCCAAAATACAGACAACAGTCATAATGAAGTTCAGTCTATCAGCCTACAAAAAAATTACATGACTGGAAAAAAAAAGGAAACCTACCGATATTCCCTCTTTCCTTCTCCGCCTAGCTCCCAAGAGAGTGTGTCTAAAGATATCAGTGGCACCTCCCCAAACTCAAAATGACCCAAATCTATAATCTCAAAGATAAAGGTAATGGCAAAGAAGATTGGGTCAAAATTCCATTAAGAAAAGACTCAACCAAGAAAAGAGCAAAAAGGATTGTTCCTAAGGAGACAACTGTTTACATACATCTAGTCACAAAAGCCCAACTGGTTTTCTTAAACACATGGTTTAAAGACCAAAGACCAACCCCCTCAGGATGACATAGATAGCTGTGTCTATGGCATTAAACTCAAAAAAACAATCAAATAATGCCACAAACAGTAATGCCACTCAACAGTCTTTATTAGGGCTCTACCTGAACTATGGGGCTTTGACTTCTAGTCTTGAAATTGTGGCAAAGATCTGGCCAATTTTGGGGTCAGTGTGTTCGGTTTCCCTTTTGAAAGGCAGCAGCCAAGCCTGTCCTTTTAGGCTGGAGTTCACTCATAATGATGGCATACAGAGTGGTCCTTCCTCCCTGAGGTTGAGGAGGCAAAATAAAACCTCAATAGGAACCATACTTTTCACTCAACAAGAAACTCCAGAAAATGCTCGCTAAAAAACACTAACAAAGAAGTTAATAAAAGGAAATCTGAAACAAAAAAATAAAGATCTTTCAGATGAAAGGGCCTATAAGAGGAAGAGTTCAGGGATGTGTTCCAGAAGTACTGGAGTCTCACCTGGGCTCCCACAATAAAGGTCCGAGTCTGTGAATCCAGGGTCTTCACCAACACTTCCAAGCTGTCAGGCTCCTCCATAGTGGTACTGGTACTATCACTGGGCTCCATGGTTGACGGCTCTCTAAGGAAGAATGGAGGGAGGCCCGCTGTCGCCCAGAGCAGACTTTATACACCCGGAAGCCTCCCGGCCTCAGTCTCCGCCCCAATACCTAAAGAGCTGCTCCCACTCAAGCACACACACTCACGCCCGCCCCCATCCCCCTTCTGATTCCGGGGCACAGGGAGAGAAACACAAAGGGCAGGAGATCGACGGCTTAGGGAGCTGGAGGGCGGGGAGGTGGGAGGAGCTCCACGATGCCAATCACAAACAAGGGAGGGCCAGTAGGGCTAGGAAGCAGGGAGAGACGCTCGAGACCAGGATCATCACCGGTCGCGATAGGACAAGGGCCCCAGAGGTCGGCAAACCCTGGAACAACGCGAGAGTTGGGGCAGCGCCAGACTCTGCGGAGAAAGGGGTTTCGCGCACGCGCGCCACGCCACACCCATCGAACCCTCTAAATCACGGCCGACCTAAGATGACGGACACTCACAGGGGGCCAGACCGGCTAGCTGACTGCCCCCCTCTTCCGTCTTCCCTCGCTGCTCCAGCACAGCGGCGCAACCCACACACACCAAACACAAGACACACCGCCACCCCGCAGCTCCGCCCCCTTCTTCCCCACGGTACCGTCACTTCCGGTCTCCCCCAACCTACAACCGATGGCCACTTCCGTTTCCCCGATAGTATTTGGGGATTCCGAGGCGGTACTTCCGGCTCCCCCCAGGTTCCTAAGCTTTACTTTTGCGGGACACGACGAGAAAGTCCGAAGCCCCAAACAATGCGTTGCTGGGGCCTAGACGGGCCGGGGCCGGCCTAGGTGGGATGGAGCCGAGCACCCCGAAGAGCCGCCGCCGCCGTCGCCCGGGGGACCGTACTGCGCCTGCGTGCGTCGCACCACGCATGCGTACGCACTCAAGCCCCGCCCCACCCCCCGCTGGAGCTTTTCGTTTCTCCTGAGCGCGCGCTTGAGCAATTGAAGATTGAGGTGGCCCTTGTAAACGCCTGATTAAAAATTACCAGATGGGACGCTCCAACTCCCTCCAGAGAGGCTTTGGATGGTTGTTTGGATGTTAGAGTCTATCGATTGGGGGAAGAGTCTCGTTGGTCTATGTTAAAGTCTTGGAATCCGGAGATTTTTCGGGAGGCGCTGTCCTGGCCACCTAAAATTCTGTCCTCTCTAGCGCCCTCGCCGCTCCATCCTTTCGGTGCCTCGGGAGTCAGCCTTTCCGCAGGCGGTTGGAGGTGGTTCGCGAGCTGTGTTGTGTGCGGTCGCGTCGTTTGGGCCTGATCTCGGTCCAGCTTTAGGGTTTTAGGTACTGCGGAGCGTGGGCGCCATGTTCCTGGCCAGCTGTGCGCGGCCGAGGGGACACACCAGGTTTTGGAGGCGCTAAGGATTCACTACCTTTCAGGGCTTTCTGTCCCTAAGAAAAAGTGCCTCAGGGTTTGGGAATTAGGGGCAAATAAAGCAAGTTGGACCAAATCACAAGATTCTGACCCTGGGAAATTGAAGGGGCCACCAGGGTGCTTTCCTAGGCCGAGGGGGCGGGGGTTACCCCTATCTGCCCTACTCCCTCGGGCGGCGCTTCAACTTCAACTAGACGCTGGTGCCCAGCTTTTCTAGGATTCCTAGATTATAACCAGGTCGTGCTACGTTTTAGTTTAGCGTTCTGATAAGCAAATCGAGAGCTTAATTTGCACCAACCAGTTTGCTAAGGGTTTTAGGTACCGTCACATTCAGAAGTCTTCGGACGTCTGAGATAGTTACTTACATCTTATAGGTGAGTACACCGAGGCTAAGTTAGGGCAGAACTGACAGAACCAGGTCTGCCAGACTCTGCCTCAAGCACTTGTATTTGAAGTGCCCCAATTAATATTGTATTTTAGTTTATTATAAAAAAATGTCAACCAGGGCGTCCCTGGTGGCGCAAGGGGTTAAATATCAGCACTTGTGAAGCTATCTACAACTGCGGCAGCACAAGTTCGATCCCCGGCCAGGGAGGAGACCCACATGGTACTGCAGACCTCTCCTGTCTCACCCGCTGCCCCCCTCAGCAGTGAATTTCAGTCTGCCTGTCCTGCTCCCCACTCTGTCTCTTCTGAATCCTCTCGCCCCCTGCACCTCTGGCCTGTACCCCAGCTCTTATATGCATAAGTAAATAAATCTTTAAAAAAAAAAATGTCAGGGCCTCCCTGGTGGCGCAAGGGGTTAAGCACGGCACTATGAAGCAATCCGAAGCCTCTGCAGCATGAGTTCCATCCTGGGCCAGCCAGAGAGAAATCCACATGGCAAAGCAGACCTCCTGTCTCATCCGTTGCTCCCCTCAGCAGTATATTTCGGTTAGTCTGCCTGTTCTGTTCCCCACTCTCTGGTGAATCCTCTCACCCCCCACACCTCTGGCCTGTACCCCAGCTCTTATATGCATAAATAAATAAATCTTTAAAAAGAAAGTGTCAAACATTACCCAAAGATAGATTAGTACGATGAGCCTTCATATAACCACCACCCAAATTTTGTTCTTTTAACTAAATTGTAAGACAAATTGGGGCGGGGGGAGTGTGTGGGTTATAAGCAATCTATTAAAGAGGCCCCACCTTTCATTACATTAATTGCACCACCCATTTGGCATTATTCCAGTGACTGCTTCTTGATACTTCATTCCTTACATTTTGAGAACTTTTACCCACCAGAAATTGAGTAAGTGCTTTAGGAACATTACTATTAATTACAAAGAATGTTTACTTTGTACTTACCACATGCAGACCTTTGCCAAGATCTTTGTGTGCATTATCTCACTTAATCCTATGAGATTAATGATTTGCTCATTTTACAGATGAGAAAACAGTTATAGAGAGCAATACAGCTGTCCAAGATCTAATAAGTAATAGAATTAGGATTTGGACTTATTCTGCCTAATACCAATGTCTAGCCTATTTAACCAGTAGATCCTGTAGCCTCTTGTAGTGATAAATGTTGAGTAAATGAACTCACCTATGTGTCAATGAACTTCTGGGGTATACATACTGTTTCCTCAATTATACACTTTGGAGAGGAAGCCTTCCACCCACCATGCCCCGGCATCTGGTTCAGACCTGTTCTAAAGCACATAATCAGGTTGCACTACAATTATTTGTTTACACAGATTTCCTTATATTAACTTCTTCAAGGCCGTGGACTATATCTTACTCATTTTTATGTCCTCAGAGCTTAGCCAGTTCCTAGGAGACAGCTGGGACTACAGTTTGCTAAGTGAATGAATGAAAAAAATCAATCCACCTCTCTTCAGTGCTGCACAGCACATTTACCCAGCTCAGAAATGGGTTGAAATGGGCCTCCCTGTCTCTCCTGCTGCTCCCCTCGGCAGTGTATTTCAGTGGATCTGCCTGTTCTGCTCCCCACTCTGGTGAATCCTCTCACCGCCCCCTCTCCCCACACACACACACACAAACACTTCTGGCCTGTACTCCAGTTAGTTTATGTATAAAGAAATTTTTTTTTTTTTTAAAAAAAGGAAATGGGTTGAAAGACCACAGGCTTCTATCCAGAGAGATTAGCTCTCCTGAGAACTCTGGACAGGCCAGGGTGTATTGTGGAGTGGCTGCATCTATAAGAGGGGGAGGAAGGCCCAAACACTAAGTAATCCAGGTTTGAGTTGGAAAACAAGGTTGAAGTTACTCATTAGCAGGTGAAAGGGTCAAGGGTCAAGGCAAGGGGGCTGGAAGCAGAGTGGACTGAGCAGCCAGCGGGGGAGAAAGCAGTTAAGGCATCAGCCACTCCACACAGAGCACCAGCTCCCTCTTCCATAAAGATGTTCCACCAGATTTGGGCAGCTCTACTCTACGTTTATGGCATTCTCTTTAATTTCATCTACCAGTGCCCTGAGCACAGTCAGCTGACAATTCAGGGAGCAGATGGGAAAGAGGTATGGACGGAGAATGGGGGAAATCTGTGGTGGGGGCTCTGAGGGACTTGGGTGAGTGGTCTAGGATGTCCAGAAGCCACCTTGGGAAAGGGAGTAGGAGGGCGTGTGTTGTGATGATAAAAGCAAGAAAACATAAAAAAGGACTAGTGTTCTGACAATCAATGGGGAGACATGACAGAATTGGGCCCTGGGGGAGGTATTATTCAGGTTGATTGAGGGGCAAAGAGGAAATATTGATTAGTGATTTCCTGTCTTAGATCCAACACCTAGTTGGAAAGAGGCAGCCCAAATCTCGGTTATCTGAACTGATGAAGAGGCTGGTTGAATCCTGTAGCGGGACCCACCCTCTTCTGCTCCCTTCACTGTCTCTCCAGTTCCCAGAGCCCCACCTAGGCCGGTGGTACTTTATCGCAGGGGCAGCTCCCACCAAGGAAGAGTTGGCGACTTTTGACCCTGTGGACAGCATTGTCTTCAACATGGCCGCGGGCTCTGCTCCCATGCAGCTGCAGCTTCGCGCTACCATACGCTTGTAAGTAACGAGGAGGCAGAGACATCAGTAAGTGCAGTCTTGGTCCAGAATGCGAGTACTCCCCCACTGGGCTGGGTTCCTCTCTGGTATATCTAACCCACTGGGCTGGGTTCCTTCCTGGTATATCTACATTTCAATGAGCAGAGTTGAATGGTTCTATTAGTTGCTCTCTGAGAGACATGGACCTAACCATCCCGCGGTAGCTTAACACCCAAAGGCCCCTTGGCTTCAAGAAGGAATCAGATGGAATATAGAGAGATTGGTACGGTGTAGGTGGTGTGTCGGTCTTTCCTCCCTGCCACCATCACCTCTGCAGGAAAAATGGACTCTGTGTGCCCCGGAAATGGACCTACCTCCTGACTGAAGAGAGCACAGATCTTAGAACTGAAGGTTGGTTTTCTCCAACCCCCACAAGCCCGCATGCTCCCCAGGCTCGCTTAGTTTTGTATCTCTGCCTTCAAACTTCCTCCATCCACCCTGACAGGCCGCCCTGACATGAAGACCAAACTCTTCAGTAGCTCATGCCCAGATGGAATCATGCTGAAAGAGACAGGCCAGGGTTACCAGCGTTTCCTCTTGTACAGTGAGTGGGGATGCCAGGCAGGAAGGGGTGGAGGGAAGTGGGAGGGCAAGAAATACTCTCTGGGCCCTGTGACATCATCCCAAGAAGGGCTGGGTGTTTTAAGGTCCTCATCATGGGCGGTGCTGAGGTGCAGGGGCTTTGATGGGCTTGGCCCCGCCCTACCTTCCAGATCGCTCGCCACACCCTCCAGAGAAGTGTGTGGAGGAATTCCAGTCTCTGACGTCCTGCCTGAACTCTAAGGCCTTCTTACTGACTCCCAGGAATGAAGGTGAGGGGGTAAACTTCCACAGAAGAAGCTGAGGACTCACCAGGGGACTCAAGTGATATCACTAGAGAGCCTGGCCAAAGGCTGACCTTATCAGTGGCTGTGTTGATACCTCCGTTTGTGTCACAGGCTACGAGGGCACCAGAGGGATGTAGCCAAGAGCTGTCACCTGAGGGAACCAGGATGGGCTCTGGGCTACTCAAAGAGACATTTCTGAGTTTGCAATGGATGAAGGGGGCAGAGGGGCAGCTACGAAGGGAAGAGCTCAGAGACCCCTTGTTGAAGGAGGGAATGTGCTTTCTCCACCCCATTGCAGCCAACTTTGTTTCTCTCCCTGAATTGCCTTCTTTTCCATTCTCTTTTCTCCCTCCTCCCACTACAGAGGCTTGTGAGCTGACCAGTAACTGACCTGTAACTTCATCTGTGCCTCCAGATGGATACAGTGGGAGCTGAGATTATGGTGGGGGGAAGAGAAGTTGGAGACTCCCAACCCCCTTTCAAGGTTAATAAAGATGGGTTTTCAATTTTCACCGCATTTTGAAGTTTCTCTCCAGACATCGATCCTCCCCCCCACTTCAGTATTTCCCCTGGACCTTCTACCACATCAACCCCTGGCTGGACGGCGTCAGGAAGGACACTGAGTGCAGTAACTCTCACTTTATAATCATATATTTAGGATTTGATATGACACAGTTATTTATTGCTGAGCAAACCCCTAAGTGGGAACTGCAAGTTCCAGTGCTTCTCCACACTGTCTGAGCTGGTCCTCCTGCCAATACTGCCTGCCCTATTCCCATTCCCTCTGGCTCCCAGGAACACCCAGATCTTCCCTGTAGGCTGTCACCCGTGGGCCCCCAACTAGATCCCCTAATCTACCTTTCTAGCAACTCAACTCTTCCCTAGATGGCTCCAACCCTAGGATTCCTTGGATTCCCACTCACCCTCTTCCCCCAGCCTGTCCTGTATCTGGGCTCCTCCCCTGGGGAGTTGGAAAAGGTAGAGAGGAATCTTTTTCCACCACCACACTTTTGTGTGTTTTTTTTTTTTTTTTTTTTTGCTTTTAAAAAGTGAAGGTGCAAGAAAATACAAACAGAGGTGGGAGAAACGTAAAAGTCAAAAGTAACAACAGCTGGTGATTTCAAGGGCAATGACCCCACTATCCATAAACACGGACCCTAAACAGCTCTATTCTCACGCGTGTGTGTGTGGGGGGGGGGTCCTGTGCCCTCATACTCTGGGGTTTCGTCCCCATCCCTGAGGTCCCTGTGCTTACAATTGGGTCATGCCCCCCACTCTCCTCCTAAAGGCCACACTTTTCACCCTTGCCACCACCCCACTGAGGGTGGGGTCCTGGGTCACACCCCACCCTGCAGTCAGTCACAGCCCCTTTCCTGGGTCTCCCCTCTGCTCCTCCACCCCCAGTTTCTCGCCCTCCCAATCAGTGACTTCTTCATCCCCACTGGGCTCCCGGAGGCTGACAGCCAGCACTAGGGCCTGTAGGAGACCAAAGAGGCAGGCAAAGTGTAGGGGGTGAGCAGTAAGTAGGGTCAGCACAGCATGGAGCCCATGCAGGGCAGCCAGGAAACATAGTAGCCCATGCAGCCAGAGACCCAGAGGTCCACGCAGGCCCAGTGCATCCAAGGCTGCTCGCAGGGGCCGAGAGCACAGCCCCAGGAGGGCTGAGGCCAGTAGCTCCAGCAGGTGCAAGGTCAGGTTGGTAGAGATCTGCAGACTCTCCTCTGGGCTTCCCAGGTATTGTGAGGGAGCCCCTGCTCTCCCAGCTGGTTCCCCCCGCAGCCAGCCCAGCAGCTTCTGACGCCGGCCTGGTTTCTCTGCTGGGGCTTCAGACTCAGGGGAACTCAGTGCCCCTTCAAGTGACACTCCGGGTCTCCTGGTGTCACCTGAGTCCACAGGATCCCATCTCAGCTTGGGAATGGCTCCTTCAGCCTCTGGTCTCCCAGACTCTTGAGTGCTAGAGATGGCCTTGTCCCACTTGTGGGAATCCATTCTTTTGCTCCCTGATTGCTCAACTTGGTACTCCCTGCTTGGTTCTGAAGCTGCCCCAGAGCGCCTCTGTGCTCCTAAGTTCTTGGTCTTGGGAGGCCCCACATCTCCCATGGTCTCTGGGGCACTGTCCCAGTCACTCCCAGAATTCTCTGAGGAGCTGTCCAACCGTCTGGGTTGTGGGGTGGCCAGGTCAGTCTTCTGGCGGCCCCAGGGGCGAGGTATCCAGCCACTAAGCCTTCGCAGGAACATGGTTGGAGTACGCAGTAAGTCCCCAAATTCTGGGGTTGCTTCGTGGCACTGCTTAGACTCTCAGGTTTGGGGGCTGAGGATGTCCTCAGAAACTGGAGTCTGTTTAGGCTCAGAATAGGTATCTGCTTGGTGAGTCCTACTCTCAATTCAAAGGTGGCTCCCCACTCCCCTGGCTGGTCATGCAGCTGCCTCAAGTATGGCAGGCAGTGCGTTTTCTTTTCAGTTTTGAGGTAAAGACAGGCTCATATCCAACTCCTTCCACCCCAAGCGATTCCAAGAGTCTCAGGACCGGACAAGGCCTGGGTCACCCCAGTGTCCTTCCTATGTTTCCGGGTTTCTCCCAGCAGGCAGCACCCCAAGTTTCACTCACCGAGGCCACTCCCCAAGATGCCCCAGAAACTGGGGAGGTGGTGCTCCATCCAAGAAGGCAGGAAGGTGGCCGGGGTTCTAGGTACTCCAGATCTAGGATGTCCTCAAGTGTTGCCCTAAGGGAGCTCAGGAATGGGGAGTCTCCTCTGTTTGTGTGTGAGAAGGGAGGAGAGTCGGTGTCCAGCTCTCCCCAGCACTCCAGCTAGCAGCGGCGGTCCCTTAATTTAGAGGGCTGTGGATTCTACAAAGCGGCCCTTCCGGCCGGGAGCAGGCAGCTGAGAGGTGGCCGCCGCAAGGTCAGCCTGGGCATGTCCTCGGAGATTTCGGTTCTGAAGCAAAGAAGGGACCTGCCTGGAGATGCTGGCGTCGGGGGCTAAGCGCTGCGGCCCCTCCTGGGCCCGGCGTCGGGGCCGCAGCCTCACCGAGCCGCAGCGCCCGGAAGTTGCGGTGAGCAGACGGGAGGGACCTGCGGGGGCGGCGCCCGCAGCTCGCGGGGCGGACCCAGAGGCTCGGCCGCCCCCGCGCTGTTCGTGCGCACCAGCAGCGCGCACAGGGGCGTAGCGCAGCGCGCGGCGAAGCTCCGAAGGCCGGGCTGGAATATAAATCCTGCCCTCCGTTTGCGTCATCCAGACGCTCGGTCGCCAGCGCTCGCGCTAACTTCACTCCCTCTGCCTCCTGCCTTTGGGTTCTTGCCCGCACCCCCCGCCCCTCCCACCATTCCGCCTTATGTCCATGGCTCCATAAAAGGTTTTCCCGGAAAGCAAAGCTGGGAGAAAAATCTGGAGACTTAGAAGTGACTAGTCGTTCCCTGCCTCTCTAAGACCAGATTTTACTTGCTGGATTTGAGAAGTGGGCTCTTCACATGGCTATTTTGAAACAGCACGGGGGGTGGGAGTGCAGGAAAGGCAAGGGTAATCAAATAGAATATGCTTCCTGCCCGCAAGTTTTCAGACTGAAATGAACTATTTCAAAAGTTAGTTTCGGAAGGCCGGAATTCTTGTCTCGTTCGCCTGACTCTGGCACCAACCACCTTGGCCTCTTGAGCTTTCTGTGACTTCCCCTACTACTATGCATTATATTGGTGTAGTGGGCAGGAATAGGCACAGGGCAGGTTTTCTGTGATCCAGCAGTCCCAGTAAAGGAGGAGAGAGTCCTGGAGACCTCAGTGGCTTTTGCATGTCTTTTTATTGGGATCTACCAGGCATACGGCAGGCAGGGGTGCTGGGGGTGCAGGCCTCCCAGCCCCCAGCAAGTCTTCACTTTCTGGGCTCTCCGGCGTTCCCTCTGCTTCTGCTGGAGTCCCCATGACGCCGCCCTTAAAAGCCCAGGTGAATCCCATCTACCTATGCCCACACCCTATTCCAGGTGCCCGCCATCAGGCATGCATTCAGGACCGCAAGGATCCATCATCTATCCTGATGGCGGGAGGGCAGAAAAATCTGGCATTTTTCCTTACCCTACAATTGGGTATTACTTTTTTAAGATTTATCTTATTTATACATACATATAAGAGCTGATGTGTAGGCCAGAGGTGTGGGGTGGGTTGAGAAGATTCACCAGACAGTGGGGAGCAGAACTGGCAAATCTACTGAAATACACTGCTGAGGGGAGCAGCCAGCAAGAGGGGAGAGGTCTGCTACACCATGTGGGTCAGCTCCCTGGCCAGGGATCAAACTAGTGCTGCAGTGGCTGCCCATAGCTTGATAGTGCTAGGACTTAACCCTTTGAGCCACCAGAGGCCCACCACTATGCATTATATTTGGTGACAGGGCTGTCTCCTCCAGGAATATCTTAGTTCTACTTTTAGCACATAAGAAATAGTTCCAGAAAATGACAGGGGACATGGAAGAAAACTTGTATTGAATTAAGCAATTCCTGGTGGTGGCATGGGAATAAAATGGGACATTTCAGGCAAGGACTAGGACCTGGAAGTGACCCAGATTGGCAGAGAGGTGACCCTAACCACCTCCCAGAAGGGGCTTCCCCCTCTGGCTCCAGCAGGACTTGCATGTGGCTCCCAGACTTGGCGTTCCTGAAACAGTGTCCAGGAAAGTGAATAAAACACAAAAGAGAGAGATGGTTGGTTTATTTGTCAACTCTCAGTCCCTCCTTCCCAAAGGCAGTGTCCGCTGACCTAAGCCTGAGATTTGCACAGAACCCAGGAAGAAGCAGCCCAAGCGCCCAGGTCAGAGACCTAAGTTCAGACTTCCCCAGCTGACCAGAATCAGATCTTGCTAAAGTCAGAACTCAAGGTTCATATATGTCCTCAGATCCCGCTCCCAGGCCCTGTCTTTTTCCTCTTTCCTTCTCTCCTCCCTCCGGCTTAGTGTGGCTACCCGAAGGGATCTCTCCTTCCCAGCCACAGCCCGAGTGTCCCGAGCTGGGAAGTGCGTGACTCGGGGCTGGAGCACTGATCTGTAGCCTAGCCCTTCCTGGTCCCTCTTGAGGATAGTTGGGATGGGGTTGGCTCGGCCCTCACCCCGGGGTCCCAGCCCCATTCCAGGCTCCCAGCCCCCCCGCAGCAGCAGCTTGAAGCCTGGGCTGGAAGTGGGCACCCCAAGAGGCAGATTGGAGGGCCGGTGACCACGGGACAATGACAGCAGGTGAGCAGTGGATGACCGGTGGTTGGAATCTTGGAAGTGGGCATCACAGGTCTCACAATACTGGGGAGAGGGAGAGTGGAACCTGCAGAGGAAGAGGAGAAAGGGTTGAGAACACAAGTGTTGAAGCCATAGACAGGGGGTGGCAGGAGCCTTTCAGTCTTTTTGCTAAAGAAAAAAACTGTCTTCCTCCCCCCTTAGCAATGAGGGACTGAGAGGGGAATCGTTCAGAGAAAAGATGGCAACCAGACCTGACAAAGATCTCAGGCAGGGGGAGAACAATGACTGTAGCTAATTCAGTCTTTACTATGTGGCGAGCACTTTTCTAGCACTTTACAAACATTAACCCGTTTTGAGAAAAATGCTCTTACTACTCCCATCTCACAGAAGAGGAAAATGAAACACATAAGACATTAGGTTTCCTGTCCAAGTAAGCAGTCAGGAGGTAAACCCAGGGAGCTCATGATCTCTCTATTATGCTGCCTTATCATCGACTGACATTAGGGGATGGGGAGAGAATGTTCTGGGGCCTGTAGTGTGGAGTGGCTGGGAAGGACAGAACACACTGAAAGATGGGTATAGACTAAGACTTTTTGCTCACCGGTTCTCTGTACTCCTTGTCTCTCCATGGCTCTCTCTGACGATGCGGGCCACCTCAGGGAAGCCTGCTTCTTCAGCTAGCTGAGCAGCATCCTTACCACCCAGCTCGCATACCCCTACCCAGGCAGCTCCACGGCCAAGGAGATAGTGTACAGCTGCCCCCTGGCCTGCTCTAGCAGCACACATCAGAGGGGTCCACCAGAAAGCATCCCGAGCATTGATATTCCCCCCAGCTCCCCCTGCTTCAAGGGGATCCAACAGCCTTCGAAGTTCTACCAGGTTCCCCTCCTGGGCTGCCATCAGTATCCTCTGGGTCATTCTGTCCTCTGCCTCAAGGGATCGCCTTTCTCTCTGTCCTTCTGATGTTCCTGATGCTGCTGCTTCCGTAGCTGTCGCCCTCGTAGTTCTTCTCTTTTTCCTCTTTCTCACACTGGGAAGCTCAGGCTGACATCCCTGAGGTTCAGAGGCACTGCTCTCATCCCTTATCAAGGCCTCGTAGAAAGCCCGGGTTGCAGCCCCATCCAGGATAGGTTCCAGTTCTTCAGGCTGTGACTGCTGCTGCCCATCTTTCCAGAGGTCACTGGGGTTGGTGGCCCGGGTGAAGGTGATGAGGGAGGGCTTAGACATGGTTTTTGGGAGAGCTATGAAAAGGCAAAAGGAGAATGAGAAGAAAGTCACCCCGCTGTCCTGTGGCCCTACAGTGACCAAAGCCACCTCCAGATGCCTGCTGGAATGAGGGAAAATAGTCTGAGTCAAAAATGACCTCCCCTGGCCTCCCTGGTGGTGCAGCAGGTTGAGCGTTGCGCTGTGAAGCTGTCCGCAGCCTCTGAAGCGCAGGCTCAATTTCCGGCCGGCCAGGGAGAAATCCACATGGCACGGCAGACCTCTCCTGCCTCGCCCGCTGCTCCCCTCAGTAGTGTCTTTGGTCTGTCTGCCTGTTCCCTGTTCTGTTTCTGGAGGATTCTCTCACCCTCCCGCACCTCTGACTGTACCCCAGTTCTTGTATAAATAAATTGTTTTAAAAATGACCTCCCACTCTGAAAGTGAACCCACAATCTAGGACCCTGAAGACCTAATGACCACAGACCATGTGAAAAAAAGGGAACCCTACAACATCCCCCCTTACAAAGACTCCAGATCAAGTTACCCAGGGGTTCCACCCTACCTCACCAACTCTCCATAAGACATACCATTAAAGGGGCCTCCCTGGTGGCACAAGTGGTAAAGCACAGCACAATGAAGCAATCCACAGCCTCTGCAGAACAAGTTCGATCCCAGGCCTGCCAGGGAACTACCCACATGGCACAGCAGACCTCTCCTGTCTCGCCTGCTGCTCCCCTCAGCAGTGTATGTCAGTCAGTCTGCCTGTTCTGTTCCCCACACTTTTTCTGGTGAATCCTCTCACCCCTCACCCCCCCCCCCAGCATCTCTGGCCTGTATCCCAGCTCTTGTATGCATAAATAAATAAAATTGTAAAAAAAACAAAAAAAATCATACCATTAAGAAAAATGATCAGCTTAACCCTTTAAATGTTCCTTGATCCTATGTCGGGAAGTCATCTTCCAAAACAAAGACAGACTTGGTGCTTCTCTGGGAGCAGGATTTGGGAGAGGCTCTGGTTGGCTTGGCTTGTATGGCAAGATGGAGCTATTCTAAGCAAAAGAGTTGACACAATTAGCCACATGACTCAAAGACGCATGTGTGGCCATAAAAAATAAACATATATTTACACTGTGCAGAACGCAGAGTTCAGCTTCTCGCCCTGGAAGCTTTCCAACACTACATACCCAAATGCCATGTGCCTCGGAGGCGCGAGGACCCGGGAAGATATTAGATGGGGTCCTTCTACTTTCACACAACGTCCCTCAATGCCCTTCGCCTCCCTCAACGTGGCCCCCGATCCAAGCTCATTTTCTGGAACTGGGAAGCCACTCCGGGTTAAGAAAGGCCTTGAGGAGGCCGAGGGAAACTTGTGGAATGCCCAAAAGCTGTGAAATTAAATAACATCACGCTGCCCCTCACCATAACGCTAAGCAGGGTTCGAAAGTCGAATACAGCACCAGCAGCACAAGACCCCATTCAAGCCCTAAGAGGAAATGGAGAAGTGCAAGGGGACGAACAACAGGGTGGCTGGCGCCACCTCAGCTTAGCGCACTGGGTCGTCCTGGTTCTCAACACCGCTCAGCTCAGCACATCCCACCCAAGTCCCTCAGCACGGAACCAGGCCTCACCTCCGGCCTCAGAAGGCCGTAGCCCAGGATGGGTGCCGTTGGGGGTCTGTAGTGGCTGCCCTGACTCAGGCGAGGCGCTCGACCAGCGACAAAGACCCGACGAGTAAGTTGGAGAGAAGATCAGTTCCCTAGACAGCAGAGGTGACTGGGGTAGGAGACTTGCTGTGAGAAGGAAGAGTCTGGAAAGGATCCAACCAGCCTTGCCCCTTTCCACGGCCCCCTATCCCCTCCGTCTGGGACTCTCAAAACTCTTTCCCAAACTCCCTGGCCCCGAACGTTGTACTGTGCTTCCGCTTCCGGTGGTTCCTCGAAGGGTCCCGCCCCCCGAGAGGCTACCTCAGGGGCCTCGCGACACCAGGGTCGCGCGCGGGTCATCCTGGGATTCGTAGTTCATCCTGCCCTCATCTCGCCGGTTTCTCCCTACTGAGGACTCCATCTCCCGGCGTCCATCGCGGCGCCCGACCCTTGGCGCGTGCGCGTTGGCCTCTTCCCCACCCTCCCCAATTTCCACTCCCCCCACCCCACTTCGCCTGCCGCGGTCGGGTCCGCGGCCTGCGCTGTAGCGGTCGACGCCGTTCCTCAGAAGCAGCAACTCCCCTCCCCCACCCTCGTCCCGGCCCCGGTCCAACCGGTGAGTCTGAGGTGGTCGCCGCGCCAAGTTCCCAGTCCTGGGCGCGGCACATGGGGTCTTCGTGCCTTGATGTGGGGGCGGCGAAGGAAGTGACCCAGTCTGGCACCGAGAGAGGGAGGGGTAGCCTGAGAGGAGGAGGCGGGATGTGGGGACTCTCGTGAAATAGACCTGACGGCCGCCCCCAGGCCATGAAAAGAGGGACCCAGTTCTTGCTTGGAAACGATAAACTTCGGAATCTTTGGGAAAGGCGACGGGGACATGCAGAGACTTGTGGGGGTAGGGAACCCGAGCCGAGGGCTCTGGCTGAGTTGGAGGGGAGAGGGGTCCTAGCCCTCGGAAGCTAGAGTTGTGGCTAGGACTGGTGGGATCAAGACCTGTCGGTTTCTCACAAGTGGTGGGACTGCAGACTGTTTGTAATCTCAGAAAAGTGATTGAGATGTGAATAAGTGCTGCAAAGAGATGCTTCAAAGCCTGGGATCCTTTAAGAAAAGGTGGCCCCAAATTCTTATGTGGTTGGAGGGCAAAGTGTGGGAGGAGGGAGGATACCGAAGGCAAGGAGGGAGAGTTTGGGCTTTGCTTACACTTATCTTTTTCCAGCTGAGGTGAAGATGAGCAGCTCTGAGGAGGTGTCCTGGATTTCCTGGTTCTGTGGTCTCCGTGGCAATGAATTCTTCTGTGAAGTGAGTTTTCTCAACCTCCCTGCACACCACCACATACTGTCTGGCCAGATAGCCCCCCACATTCCAGCAACCACGCACTTCCCATACATGCTTCCATAGGAACTTTTTCCTGCCAAGAAAGTATCCCCCCAGTAAATTCCCACTAACCTGTGGTGAAGTGGCAAGATGGACCCAAGTCCTAACCCTCCCGCTCTCCAGCAATATAACATTGGACAAGTCAACTCGTGTCTTTTCTTTTTTATTACTGGAGGGATGCTGGAAATACCTATCTCCACTGATTGTTAGAAGAATGAAGGCATTGCATGTTAAAATGTCTTGTATTGTGGAAAGCTGTATGTTAGTATAGGGATTGTAACTGCCTTTACAACCCAGCCGGTTTGACCTCTGCCTTCCTCAGCGAGCCTGTTGCCCTAAGGATAGTACAAACCTGGTTCCTAAAGATGGAAACTCTGTATGGGGACAGGGATCCTGAAAGGAGTGTCTCTATACAGAAGAGACATAGCCTTACTTGCTTATCCTTAGAAAGGAAAGCCAAAGTATTTATGGGAAGACGAGCGTATGTGAACTGGAGAGACTCGAGTACTTCTGTTGAGTTGGGAATGGGGAACAGAAGTTATGCTGAGGATAAGGCATGCCTTAGAGCAGTTCGCTCAGGTCAAAACCAAGGATTCTGCCATGGATTCCCTCTTGACTTACACGTCCTGACAGGTGGATGAAGACTACATCCAGGACAAATTCAATCTCACTGGACTCAATGAGCAGGTGCCTCACTATCGACAAGCTTTAGACATGATCTTGGACCTGGAGCCTGGTGAGGCACCCTCAGGGTTGTTTTGTGTTTATGGGTTCTTTTTTTTTTTTCTCTCTCTCTCTCTTCAAATCCCTGTTCACCTGCTTTTTGAATTTCTAAATTTCCTTTAGCTTTCTGAGTCTTTGAATGTACAATCTCCAACTTACTTTGATTCCTCACCCAACTATTACTTAGTTTAGTGACTTACACTGCTTGTTTCTATGTGCTGATCCTGTAATTCAACTGTATCCCATAATGCCCTGAGTTTTCCCCTTGGGTGATACTTCCTGCCTCTTTCTTCTGCCTTGCAATTTCAGGTCTAGAGCTCTACCATGATGTACTGACATCATTGCTTTTGTGTGTCGATGAGGGAATTGGGAGGGAGAGAAGAAGGCAGAGACTGAAGAGGTCTTGGCGAGAAATTGCCTTGGGTTTGTGGCTCAGAGACTTAGGTTTCTGGGTCAGATAACCCAAGGTGAGGGGTGGGATGAGGCTGTAGGGTGGGTGCTGGGAAAAGTGAGTAGCCAGTAACCCCTAGGGGATAGGCAGGGCTCCTAAAAGAGTTGTAAGACAAGTAGTTGCATTTGGCTGGGGCCGTGTTTCAGATGAAGAGCTGGAAGACAACCCCAACCAGAGCGACCTGATTGAGCAGGCAGCCGAGATGCTTTATGGATTGATCCACGCCCGCTATATCCTCACCAACCGTGGCATCGCCCAGATGGTGAGGCCTCTCTACTCCCACTTGACTTCTGAGGCAATCAGGGGGACAAAGATTCCTGTAGCAAGAAGTCACATGTTTCAGTTCTATCAAGTAGTCTGAGAAGAGGGAAGAATCCCAGAATCTGGGCCTGGGCATTCAGTCCTGATTGGGGGTTGTATACTGAAGGAGAAGTTTCCAGGTAGAGAGATACAGCCTTAAACAGGAAGTGTTTATAGACTGCTCTTCCTTAGGGGACAAACATTGATGTTTTGATGGCCTAGCATCTGCCTAACTGGAGGAAGGGAAGGAGAGGTGTCTGGGGGTCAGAGATGGGACCCCTTGACAGAGAGAGGCAGGAGGAGGAAGGGACAGAGTAATGTGGGTCGGGCTGAGGAGGGGATTGCATCTTTTCACGTCTATCCACCACCTCCTTCCATTTTATTCACCTCAGCTGGAAAAGTACCAGCAGGGAGACTTTGGCTACTGTCCCCGTGTGTACTGTGAGAACCAGCCTATGCTTCCCATCGGTGAGTGTTGGAGAAGAGAAAGGAGGGCAGCGTATGTCAGCTTCTCTGGGAAGGAGTTGGGGCTCAGTAGGTTGGGCCCTGAGTCTGGGAGGGAGGTTGGGCAGGGTTGAAGGGCTCTGACCTGCTGAATCTGGCTGTCTCCCAGGCCTTTCAGACATCCCAGGTGAGGCCATGGTGAAGCTCTACTGCCCCAAGTGCATGGATGTGTACACACCCAAGTCATCGAGGCACCACCACACAGATGGTGCCTACTTCGGTACCGGTTTCCCTCACATGCTGTTCATGGTGCACCCCGAGTACCGACCCAAGCGGCCCGCCAACCAGTTTGTACCCAGGTAGGGAGTAGAGACTATCACCAACAGTCATAATGAAAGGCCTGACACCCCCAGAGGAAAGAGAAGACAGGGCATAAATGGTTTTTAAGGGCTACGTCTCCCTTTGGAAAGTTCTTTAACTATTTATCTTTTCAGTTTCCTTATCTATAAACCAAGTATGATGACAACTCCTGCCTGACAGGACATTTCTAAACACATGAAGTGCTAAGAATAACATTCATCACTTGCAGCACTATCCTGTCACCATCTTGGGTGTTCAGCTTTTGCTAGGAGATTCTCTTAGCATAGTTCAGATGTGATTTGTCTTCCTGGAGCATCTTTTTTTTTTTAATGTTTTTGTTACTTTTTTTTTTTTTTTTTTTTTAAGATTTATTTATTTATTTATACAAGCACTGGGTACAGTCAGAGGCGCGGGAGGGTGAGAGAATTCACCAGAGCGGGAAACAGAACAGGCAGACTGACGAAATGCACTGCTGAGGGGAGCAGCGGGCGGCAGGAGAGGTCTGCGCGCCATGTGGGACCGTCGCCAGGCGGCCAGGGATCAAACCGGCGCTGCAGAGGCTGCGGGCAGCTTCGCAACTCAGCGCTCAACCGCTGCACCCCCGGGGAGGCCCTAGAGCATCATTTTTATTCTAGCATGGGGAAGAAAAGTGGGATTCTATATTTATCGAAACTGATAAATACGCTGATACACACATAAGCGTGTCTATATGTATACGTGTACATTCTAGAATTTGCGTTTTAGTGGTATTAAGGTTCATTGCCAAATATTCCTGAGGTAAGGAGCTTGAGCACCACTGTCCTTAAGCACTGAGCAGGCTCATGGAGGAGCTGGGGTGGGAAGGGGGAATGCAGGCCCCTGGCAGGGCCAGAATGGGGCTCACCCTCCTTCCTCTCACCTCTGCCCTGGCCCAGGCTCTACGGTTTCAAGATTCATCCGATGGCCTACCAGCTGCAGCTCCAAGCAGCCAGCAACTTCAAGAGCCCAGTCAAGACGATTCGCTAATGCCCCTCTCCACCTTTGACACCTCCATTCCTCGGCTGCCACCCTTTCAGGAACTCTATGATTTTTAGTTTAAATTAAAGGAGTCATTGCTGTGGTGGGAATAATGAAATAAAGTGAAAGAAAAGGCAGTGATCTAGTCTGCTGTGCTTGGGCTTGGCAAAGGGAGGGTAGTGGTGTGTTGGATGGGCCCCAGGGACTCCTGCGACCTAGTCACACACACCTCCGAGTTAAAAATCAGCATGAATTTGTGTCCAGTGAATTTGAGTGCTGTTCTTAGTAGACAGCAGAGCAAAATTCCTAGGGCTGCAGGGGGAGGGAGGTGTGGCTGCCAGTTCGCAAGACTAAAGAAAGTCTTGTTCCTTTTGGGGCCACTTTTACTGTAAGGGATGCAGCCAACACTTGTCTCAGTTTTGGTTTTACAGGGAAAAGCACTCCTAAAATATATTGGGGTGAAGAGAGGAGAGACAAGGTCCAGAATTACTGGTCCAGAATTACTGCTCAGTGATACCTGTGTGCCCTCTGCTGGGCAAACTGAGTCATGCTCATCAGAAGGGTGACAACAATGGCTTAGCCAAAGTTTCCCTGCACAATCGCAACTGGCACTATTGTCTGGGATTCAGAGAGGCCAGCTGAGGAGGTGGTGCTGGAAACATGCAAATTCATGGGCCCTTGAAGAGACCTTTGTGGGGCATGCAGCACAAAGGTAGCTGGATCAAGGCCCACGTGGAGCCAGGTACTTGCCCTGTCTGGGCCACTGTTCCCACATTCAGATACGACCTGGACCTGGTGGGTGAGGACACAGTGTCCCCACTGTGAGGTAAATAACTTCCTCTCCGCCCCCACCCCCATTCTGCCCCAGGCCAGAATATAGCTCTGTATCTACAGCAGCTCCTGCTCAAAACCGCCCCACAGCTCAGGATCAAGGAGCATGGTTACAGAAAGGTGGGGTTTTAGGGTACTCCTCAGGGACTGTCCCTCTCCCCAGAATTCCATGATGAAGGCCCATATGCTTGTAGGTGTGCTGGCCATGGTGGGCTGCTCAGTGGGGAAGGGTAAGTGGGGCCCAGGGGCAGGGAGGAAGGGGTGACGGTCCATGGAGGGGCTGGGCCCCTGGACACACGGGCTCCACCCCTGCTATCTTCCACTTCCCCAGCTCCTGTTCCTGAAGTCCGGACCTGTCACCTCTGTCTCTTAGAAGACGCTTCCTTGGGCTGCATTTCAGGCTCGGAGAAGTGCACTATCAGCAGCCTGTCCCCGTGCATGGTGATCACCATTTACTACAGTGAGTCAGAGCCCAGGAGGGGCCACTAGTGGGGCCACCGATGGCTTGGTCTCTCCCCTTATAGGTGAGGACTGCTTGACACCCAGGATACAAGGAAAAAAGGGATCTTGGAAGGAGGGGGCTGGGATTCTGAGGGGCCAACTAAGCTAATTTCCTTCTGAAGAAATCAGATGGAATTTGGGTCTGGGCGAGGGAGGAGAGCCAGCAGTAGAGGCAAGGGTTATTAGTTATACCTTCTCCTCCAGATGCCAATATTCGCTTCTTCATCCGAGGCTGTGGACAGTATCATTCTTACCGCTGCCAAGAAACACACAACACCTACTTCATGCAGTACTGGTACAACGCCCAGTGCTGCCAGTATGATTATTGCAACTCTTGGTCTAGCCCCCAGCTCCAGAGCGCTCTGCCTGAGCCCCAAGGCAAGACCCTGGCCCTGCCCCTGCCTGACTCCCAGCTCCAGCGGTTCTACCAGGCCCTGAACCTCTCACTTCCCCTCCCCAACTTCCATACTGGGAAGGAACCTGAATACCCAGACCCCCTGACCACCCTGCCCCTGAACCTGGGTTTGTCTATTGCTGACCTGCGCCACATTTACTTGTTCCTCAACAGTTCAGGACTTTTGGTTCTTCCCCGAGCTGGACCCTGACACCTTACCTTTCCCAAACTCCATTCTCTTCCAGCACCTCTCCCCTAACACCCCAGACACCTGCACCGGCCTCTCATAGCACTCGGATTCTCTGCTCTGTAATTTCTTTGGCCTCTTTTCCTTTGTACTTCCAGCTTCTGTATGTTTTGGTTTAATTTCCTTCCCAGAAACCAGTTGGCACTGTATCCACTTCTTTCTTCTAGAAAAGAACCTCAAGTGCAAATTCTGCTCAGACTGCCCTGGGAAAGACACAGACTCACCTCTTTCTCATCATCCAAATGTTCTATCATTCCCCCCATCCCCAACATCCCAGGCCCCTCTCAATCTGGTCACATGCTACCTCCATTCAGATCTGTCCCTACATTGTGTCCTATGCCTATCACTAACACCTGGCACCAGACTGAACTTGCAGCAAGAAGAATTGGGGGTAGATTTCTGTGCAGATGTCCTGACTTGGCACTCTGGTGTCCTTGCCTCACTGTCTCCACCATTCCAGACCCCCCTTTGTTTCTTGCTGCCTTCTCTTACCTCTTGTCCCACCCAGTCTCTTGCTCTTCAGCCCTAAATCACATCACTGAGTCACCACACCTACTTCCATCGGTGCCGGGGGAGAAGAGAGGCAAGGGTAGGGCTTGTCCTGCTGTTACACATCTCCCAATTTCCCGACACAATAAATGGACTGCACTAAGACTGTGTCACATTGTTTACACACACTGGGTTTGGCTCAGGTATAGACAGGTTAAAGAGGATTAATTGGGGGTGGGGTTCAAATATGGTTCCCCACTCCCTTGGCCTTTGTGGATTCCTCCTGACTATCCATCCCACCTGCTGCTCAGCTAGAGATCAAAGCATGAGGACTGCAGCTGCTCCCTGCCTTAAACACCCTAAAAACCTAGAAACTTAAACTTAGGTGATGCCAGATTTTTCCACTTAAGGAGGAAACATTCTCTCTTTAACCCAGGAGGACTCGGGAGCAAATTAAAGGACCAGTTCTGCATCTTAGGGTCACCTGGTGCCGAAGGACTTGGATTCTGCTGGTCCCTAGTTCTTTTCAGGATCCTGGCACCCAGGGCCCTTCTGTCGAGTTCTAGGTGAAGGGGGAAGGACAAAAAAGCACACATGTGGGGTTGCAGTGGCTGGATCTTTAATTTTTTTTTTTAAAGATTGATTTATTTATATGAGCACTGGAGTACAAGCCAGAGGCATGGGAGGGTGAGAGGATTCACCAGAGATAGAGCAGGGAGCAGAACAGGCAGGAGGACCGAGATACACTGCTGAGGGGAGCAGCGGGTGAGATAGGAGAGGTCTGCTGCTCCATGTGGGAATCTGCCTGGCCGGCCTGGAATCGAACTGGCACTGCAGAGGCTGCGGACAGCTTCACAGGGCTGGGCTCAACCCGCTGCACCACCAGGAATGCCCTGGATCTTTAATTTTTATGTTTGAAAAGTTGCACACATACAGAAAGCAATAATGAATATTCATAACTTGGCATTCCCTGTATGTTCACCAAGCACTGGACACTGCTCAGAGCCAGGCCTGGTGTTAAGCACAGGACTCAGAGGAGTACAGACAGGTGTCCAGCTTCCTGGATCTCACAACACAATGCTGGCATTACCAACACAGCACTGCAGCTTCGTGGCCGGGGACCTCAATGCCAGCTCCTCTGCCACTTGGGTGGCTTGGTCTCCCAGCCTCACTTGGTCCCCTGTCAACTGGGGATAGTGCCTAGTGAGATTGAGAAAATGCATGTAAATCTGTGCGCACGTGGGACGTAGAGCCTCAGAAATAGACACACGCCTTAGAAACAAATGCACACACAGCTGTGTCCTCTTTATTTTTAAACCCCTTTGGCAAAACACAGAGGCTCACACATACCATAAAATGGGTAACCTGTGTTAGGAGTGCCTAAGTCAGCATGAATGACCTTTATCAGCACCCAGAACTGCCTTCATACCCACTCCCAGGCACTCTCCCCAACTCTCAGGGGTTGCCACTGGCCTGAGTTGTAGCAGTTTAGGGTGAATTTTGTGTTTGATATAAATGGCGTCATTCAGCGCATCCGCTTACCTACCCAACACTTCCTATGACTACGGCTCTGTGGCCCCTTTCATGACCTGCACTTCGGTGGGAGGTATGAAGAACGGTATAAACTTTGAATGTGCACCCCACTTGCTGGACCCGTTTCCTGAACCCTGGGATCAGGTCAGAGCTTCAGGCCTAGCGCCTCTTCCACAGAGTGTCCTTCTCCAGGCCCTCCTCCTTGGGCCTGAGCCTTTCACACCTCTCCCTCCTACAATACCCCCTCCCTTATGCCCTCCCAGCCAGTCCCCACACAGCTCTGGATCCCACAGCATTTCTAAGGATATCCACTACACTCTGGCCTTCATCATAAAGGGAGGCTTTCAGTTCCTTATCACCTTTCTGAGCTGAGTCAAAGACACAAAGCAGGGCAGAAGCAGAACTCAGCAGAGCTGTGTGCCCCCTGCCTGCCCCACAATGGGGCGATCATCATGCACAACCACTTTCCATGGCTCTACCCCCCTGGAAGAGACAGACAAGCCATAGTTTGCACATCAGTTTATTTTGGAGGAACACCTGGGGATTTGCTCAAAAGAGTCCTGTGGTGGGAGAAAGGGAGGAGGAGCAAATAAAAAGCAAAGTCACAGCTTGGAGGTGGGAGCAGAGAGGAGGAAAGATGTCCAACTGAGCACTTGAAGGGAAAATGTCAGAAAATTCTGGGGGAGGGACAGAGTGGGAAAAGGGATGTTGAAGGGTGTTAACCAAGAGGAAGATAGGACTGGGGTCAGGTACCTAGAGGGAGGCAGAGGATGGTGGGAGGGGTTGGAGGTTGTCCAGTCTGAGCCCAAGTTTTAGAAATGAGTAGGATGACTGGAAACACTGGACATCCAAATGTCTTCTGCAGACATCCTAAGGTAAGCCCAGGACTCTGTTCTCGGGGTTATTGCAGAAATCCAGGAAGCAGCATTGAGAGAATATCCAGTAGCCAAACACCGGCGAGGTGCGGGTGTGTGCGCAGTCATGCATCTGTTCCTTGCGGCGACAGTCACTCACCAGGATGTCAGCACCCGAGCCTGGGGCAGGATGGCAGCAACCAGTGACGTGGAGGCCCCAGCAAAACCCCAACCTTCCCACCCCCTCACTCCACGTGGACTCATCATCACTGCCCCCACGCGCTGCCCTGGACCCTCAAGATGCAAAGATTCTTGGAACTAGGCAAGGGCAGGGAGTCACCAGCCATGAACTCTGTGAGAACCTCTCATGGCAGATGGGAAGGAGCCATTTGAAATATCATGAGGATGGATGGAGCTGGACGGAATTATGCTAAGTGAAATTAGTCAGAAGGAAAAAGAAAAATCAAATGATTTCACTTATAGGTGGAACATGGGAAAACTGAACAAAGGGTCAGGAAAAAAGATAAAACTTGCAAGCTGAGCATAGATTTGCAGCAAACAGCAAGGGAAGGGGTGGAGAGGGGTTAAAGGGGAGGGAGAGCACTGGTGCTGTAGTGGTGGGAGAACTTCAGGGACTACACCTGAGGGGGGAACACTAATGTAAGAATAAATAAAAATAATTAAAAAAAAGAAATATGAAATTTGGAGTGGGCTGAGTTGGAATCTGTGGAGCGAAGTGGGGAGAAGTTTGAAAGAGAACTGTGGAGAGGAAGTGTATTTGATGACTTACAAGTAAATCACAGGGGGCAAATGTTTTGTGCCCAGGTACAGGGATGTTCATTGCCAACCTGCTGGAGGGGGGTGAAAAATCAGAAGCACCCTGAAGGCCTGTCAAGAGCCCTGGTGGTGCAGCAGTTGAGCGCTGGGCTGCGAAGCTGCCCGCAGCCTCTGCAGTGCCGGTTCGATCCCCGGCCGCAGGCGAGGGTCCCACATGGCGTGACAGACCTCTCCTGCGGCCCGCTGCTCCCCTCAGCAGTGTATTTCGTCAAGTCTGCCTGTTCTGTTCCCCGCTCTGGCTCTAGTGAATTCACTTACCCTCCCCCACTTCTGACTGTACCCAGTGCTTGTACAAATAAATAAATAAATCTTAAAAAAAAAAAAAAAAGAGCGGGGTGGATAGATGGACCCCTCCAGGCCCATGCCATGGTGTGCCACGCAGCAGGAACACAAAGTCATATTGTTTACAAGCTGACAGAGAAAGAATAAGTTCCCTTAGCTGTGAACTATGACAAGTGCAGAACAGTGTTTAGTGATATGCTGCTGTTTGTGGTGAGAAAAAGAGGTGAAAAGGAGTCAAGAGCCTATTTGTTTAGATGTGGTGTGCACAAAAGTTCACAAAGTGAAAAGACAGTGAAAGAGTTGCTGTATGCTATCTTGCCTGAGTGGGGTGGGCTTGGCCCGGAATGGGAGAGGGACTTCTCTTTGAGACCCTTGAATATTCTGGGAGTGAGCCCTATCTATGCATCAGCTAGTAAAAAAACATATAGTGTAGGAGGCTCCCCTGGTGGCCTAAGAGTTAAGTCTCAGCACTATCAAGCTATTGCCAGCCACTGTGACATGAATTCTATGCCTGGCCAGGGAGCTAACCCACATGGCTCAGCAAACATTTCCTGTCTCACCCACTGCTCCCCTCAGCAGTATATTTCAGTACATCTGCCTGTTCTGCTCCCCACTCTGGCTCTGGTGAATCCTCTCAGCCCCCACACCTCTGATCTATATCCCAGTTCTTCTATGCATAAATAAATAAAAATAAATCTTTAAAAATAAACAAAAAAGTATAGTGCAGATGCAAGAAAAGTTTGAATGGAGGTAGCTGTTGTTAACAGCACCATCTCTGGAACTCCCACACCTTGTGGCTCAGCCTCTAGGAGGCTTGGACAAGGTATTGACCTTTCTGTGTCTGTTTTCTCCTCTATAAAATCAGGATACTATTAACAACAACAACAATGCCTGTCTCAGAGGGTTGAAGGGCTTAGAACAGTATGCCTGGCCCATAGTTTATATGTTTGCTCACTTAAAAACGGTGAGGGAGCAGGCAAGAGGAATGATGTAGTCAATTGTCAGCAAGTTGCAAATGAGGTGGAGGTTGTGCGGAGTGCAATTCGACATGACAGTTTGGCCTGACATTCACAGACAGGAGAAAGTAGTATGTGACTGCTCCTTTGAAGTCAGGGAAGCAGATAAAATCCTCCAGAGAGAGTGAAGCAGGAAGACAGCTAATGACTAAACTTTGGTGAACCTGAACCATCGTTAGGGGTTAAGGAGAGTGAGGCAAGACTTGGTGCAGGAGACACAGCGAAGGTTGGAGGAGAGGAGTGATGCTGGTGGGAATTACCGCTGGTAGATGGAGAGAGGAGGAAAAGCTGAAGGATCTGGTATCTCGAGGATCCCCTACAAGACTGAGTGCTGTGAGGAGGGAAGAGCTGGTCAACTGTAGGCTGAGGTGGGAAGTGGGGGGGAGGGGTGTAGGAGTGGGACGGAGTAGCTCTGAAGGAAAGAAAGAGACAGCGGGGAACAGTATTTTAGGGTTGTGGGAACAAGATTTGGGGTGCAGCTTAGAAGGCTGGTAGAGACACGGTTTGGGGCCAAGGACAGAAGAGAAGGCGGCTTACTGTTCTTTATATGGAGAGTCAAGCAGCTGCTGCCAGCCGGGACAAGACATATGTCAGATCCCAGGAGGCACCCCAACTCCTTGGTCTCCAAGAGGCATCGGTAGCAGCGCAGGTATTTGGGTGGCTGAGCTGGATAAGGGAGGTCTTGACGGACAGATTCACCTAAAATACAGAGAAGCACTGGCCCCAAACCCTGGCCTACCGAATTCCACGCTGGTCAACCCCACTTCTCCCTCCCTCCCTTCCCATCTCAGAAAACCATAAAATCACCAATTCTTTAAAACCACCTGGCCTAATCTCAGAAGTTTTAATCCTTGTTAAAAATCTCCCTTCTCTGCTCTTCTGCTTCCTGAAATGAGGAACTCATTCGTTCATTTACTCAATGTGTACTTGAGAGGCTAACAGGTACCAGGGGTGCTGCAGACGTTTACATTCAAAGGTGAGGCTGAATCCAACTTTGAGCAGCTCTGTTAGGACCATTCTATGTTTGGGCCTTGATTTTACAGTCCCCCACTCCCTGGGCTCTCTTTTGAATATGCCTTCTTAACTTATAATGTTCAGAAGTGAAAATAAGAGTGCATCATCCTAGATAGGAGAATTCTTTGCTTGGTGTACACAGGATATTTTAAGCAGTTCAGGGCCATATTCTTTGGCCGTCACTGCACAGATTCATACTAAACTTCGTCCTCCAAAGTCCCCCCGCCCCAACTACAATATGTACCCCTCTCTCTTCCTCTGGTCCTCTGCCCAAACCAAAAGTGACTGAGTCCCCAGACCCAGCAGAGCACTTGGTGTGAGGCAGATGCTGAGCAAACACTTTGAATCCTATTTCTATTTAGTTGGTGCTTTGCAGTCAAGTGAGGAGGTTATCAAGCTGGATCCAGTCTTGTTCTAGATCCTGGTGCTGTCATCTTGAGTGTTCCCCAAGCCCTCTCTGTCCCCTATTGCCTTCAATCTCTCCATTCAGATTATTACTGTTGACTGAGACAGCCTGGGGTGGTCACTAGAGTTTCCCCCAGAGGGAAGGAATGTCAGTCCATTATCAGTCCCCAGCATTATCTCACCAGGCCTACTCACTCATGATTCCTCCTGACTAGGTTTACCTGAGCATTCTGGACAGCTGTACCTGGTATTGGGTTTCTCTATTCAGCAGGCCAGGAGACCCTTCTGACCCCACAGAACTACTTACCAGGCACCAAGCTCATCATGACCAGCACTATCAAGAGGACCAGATACAGGGTGTGGGGAGTGCTATGGAGGCCCAGAGGCCCCAGTCTCTGGCTACTTGCAGGGCCTGCCATAAAATGCATGACTGCCCACCAGTCTCCAGTTTGGGTTTATATTGGAAGAGAAGTTGGCCAAGAGGAAGGAGAGAAGCAACACCTGTTTGGGGTACAAATCAATGCCAGAACAGCCAGAGGGACAGAGTGTCCTCACCCACAGCCATTCTGGGGCCTCACATCCTGGCTTGGGGACAGGGCCCAGCAACAAGGAAATGAGGGGGAAGATTTTATTCATATTAAATTCAACAGATGTTTATGAATCACAACATTGCACAACCTCACAGAGCACACAGGTGCTCTGTGTGTGGGAAACAGGTCAATAAGCATTGGGGGCGGGGTGACCACTAATGAAAGCAATTTCTGCCTAGCAGTAAGTGATCAGATTTCTGTTTGTAAAAGATTACTGAGGCTGGGAAACCAGTTAGGAGCTGTTCCTGAGTCCAGTCACAAGATGGCAGCCTGGTCTAGCATAAGAGAGGCAAGGAAGGTAGAGGAAATCTGAGATTTATTTAGAAGGAAGATAGGTCTAATTTGGAGTTGCACTAAAAGTGGTAAGATGGGACGGGGTTATTGGTCTGCACACAGGGGTGATTGGTGGTGCCATTTTCCAAGATGGGAAAGACGTGGCACTACCAGAAACTCCAAAGTGAGAACACCAGGTGCCCAGTGACTGTACTCAGGTCAGTGCCGGGTGGCTGGAAAGCCAGCGCATTTTCCTACACCCCCTTTTCCTGTCCGGCCTAGCCTTAAGCTGCAGGGCAGTGGATCTGATCTCCGGTGCCCACAGGCTGCGGCGCTGAACGCTAGCTCTCCAAGCCTAGCAGCGCCTCAGAGCTTTCTGGGGAGACGGTGGGGGTAGCCCCCAGCCTAGCTCGGCTCTTGGCCTGGATGTGTCCAGAATGCTCAGGTAAACCTAGTCAGGAGGAATCATGAGATGAGTAGGCCTGGTGAGATAATGCTGGGGACTGGTAATGGACTGACATTGCTTCCCTCTGGGGGAAACTCTAGTGACCACCCCAGGCTGTCTCAGTCAACAGGCCAAGAGCAAAGAACCGGGTTCGCGACCCAGGCATCTGGAGCAAGCAGACACCCAGCTCACCACCGGCTTTCCCCGAAGGCCAAGACACCCTCCAGCTTCTTCCACCCGGGCCTGTTGGGCCCCCATGCCTGCTCAGCCAGGCCATTTTCTCGGGGAGACACACGCAAACTTTTCACTTTGGGTTTTGGGGGGCCACTCGCTCCAGTCCCCGGCCTAGAGGTTCCCTGCCACCGTCCCAAACCGTCCGAAAATCATCCTGCCTCGGGTTCTGATGGGGAAGCCAAAAAAGACATGAGGAAAACACACACCACCGCGCGCCGCCTCAAGAGCCTTGAGATGAGTGAAGCAAACTTGTATTAGAGAAAAGTAAAGAGAACTAGGAGGCTCGCCTGGCCCTCAGTAAATGTGCGCTGAATCAGCGACAGCGGTAGAAAGAATGGGGGGGTGTTCCTCTTGACGCAAACAGGGCAAAGGGAGGGCAGAAGGGCCCTCTGAATCCCTCTTCGGATGGCCAAGGACGAGGTTATGTGTGGCGGAAGCCCCCTGAGGAGGCTTCGAGAGGACTTGTGAGGGGCTACAGCACCCTGGGCCCTGAGGGTAGCAGAAGGGGCCTTCACAGAAGGCCTGGGAGGTGGGGTCTTCCTCACAGGGGGCGTGACCTCAATATCATTAATCCCGCCCTTGTTTCCGTGTCGCCCGGGCCCTGTAAACGCGGCGGGGCGCGCGGAGGACCGCCAGCGTCGGTTGTCCTGGTGACAGACTCCCGGTTGGCTTCCTAGAGGCGGGGTGTGGAAAGTCGCCTTGGTGACCGTAAGGAATGACGATATCCTCGCGGAGTTCCCTCCCCGGGACAAGGAATACCCGGGGTGAGCAGCCTTGTGACGAAACAAAGGAGGTCGGGCCTGAGACAGAACTCCGCAGTTAGGGGGAGGGGGCGGGACATTGGAGAGACACAGCAAGAGATGATCGGACCCAGGAGAGCCCAGTACTGTTAGGGGAGTAGTCCTGTACACAGAGGTCGGGAGAGGAATCTTTAACCTGAATATAAATGAAACAAATGATTGAGGGAGTTGGGATGACTGGATAATTGGATGGATGGATGGATGGATGGATGGGGACCTGGCTATCGCTGGTGCCTGCCTCTCTCCTTTCCCCCAGCCCCCCTTCTAGGGCCCTCCACCCTCCAGGGCCTCCACTCACTTGTGACAGTTGTGGGGAAAGCACATGCTCTTTCCTGGGGCTCAGAGGAACCCCCCCGCCCCATCCCCACCAAACAGCAAACCAGGGCTGAGTTCAGCACCTCACATTGGGAGTGTTAACTGGAATAAGTCTCAGTGACAGTTTTTTAGACAAAGTGAAGGTTTGAACCTGGGAAGGAGCACCGCTGATTTTTACTCTGGGAGAACTCTGCCAGAAGTTTGAAACTCAGAAGTTTGAATTCAATTTCTACAGGTAGGAACAATGAGTCATTGACATTAAAATGTAATAATTCTTGATGGCGAGCTTCGGGTTTTAAGTTGTTTTGTCCTAAGTATAAACTGATACTCTGTGCACAGAGGAAGGCAGTGCTGGCTGTTAATCTCATCTTTTCTAAAGAAGGCACTGTGTACCTACCCGCTGCTTACATGTATTTGTTGGCTCCTTGGCCATTAGTGGGGGGTTGAAAAGACTAACTTTACCCAGAGGCAGCAGTTTGCATAGCTGTTTCACAGACTTCAAGTCTATGCAGATGGCTTTGCTCACTCTTCAGCTAGAGCAGGAAAGGTTCATTCTCAGAATACTTACAGTATGTTCACAGGATGCTATGAGGGCCGAGGCTGGGCCAGTGAGATTGGACAAAATATGACCCAACCCTAGGCCCACTTCTTCCCAAGTTTCCAGTCTAGCTGTTAACTCTTCATTCTCTCAGCCTTCATCCTCTCCCAGTTTGCCCAGCTTCTCAAGGACACCTGGGTGTTGTCCAGGCCCCACGCCATGCCCAGTACAGCGAGGTCCAGAACCCTAGCAGTTGAGGGGCCTACATCTCAATTGATCTACCCCTGATACTGCTGGAACCCTAATCTGTAGGGTGAGGAGTAGACAGGGTGCTGGTCCCGTAACAGGGTGGTCCCCCACCCTAGGAGAGGAGGGGTGTTCTGAAAACAAACACAGCTGCTGTGAGCCTTATCAGATGGGGATTAATCTAAGGGGTAGACTGAGGCCCCAGGCAGAGGTGGTCCAGAATTCACATGCCCCTCACCCCACCCTCTTTAGGTACCTTAAGACCCCTCATGGTGTCCAGTATTCTTTGTAGTGGGTGCGGGGAGAAGCAGGCTGGGGGGGAGGGGGAGAAGTGGTGCTAGAGGCTGGGCAGCAAAGTCCCTTATAGCTATGGCCAGGAAGGGGGAATCCTTTGTCCCCAGCATGTGGGAGGTGGGGCTGAGTACCCACTATTTGCATTTAACTGAACAAAGTCTTGGTTTCCAGGGGATTAACTGTCCTAATGGATCTGGGAGGATAGTTTTAGAACAGTACAGCTTTAAGCTCCACACCTCCTACACTTTGTGTCCCCTGGAACAGGACAGAGGAGAGGTACACCAGTATCAGTCAGCTCTTCAGAACTTGCTAAAAGTGGAGCATTCTGGAACTGTTGGCCACCTTTCTGTTTCTCCTCCCCCTGCCCCCCTTCTTCCTCTCCTCCCTCCCTTCCTCCCTCCCTCCACTATTAAACCTTTTTATTGACATAACATTGGTTTATAACACAATAGAGGTTTCAGGTGTACAGCCTTATACATCAACATCTGTGCACACTACATTATATTCACCATCGGCAGTCCAGCTTCCATCTATCACCACACAACTGACCCCATTTACCCAATGCATTCCCTTCTGGTAACCACTGTTGCATTCTTATAGTCTAACAGTTTGTTTCTGTTTTGTTTTGTTTGTTGTTTCTTTATCTTCCTAATGAGTGAAATCACACAATGCTTGTCCATCTGGCTTATCTCACTTAGCATAATTCCCTCTAGATCCATCCGTTTTGTTGCAAATGGCAAAATTTCTTTTTTTTTTTAATAGCAGAGTAGGGCCTCCCTGGTGGCACAAGGGGTTAAGACACAACCTATGAAGCTATTCACAGCCACCGCAGCACGAGTTCAATCCCAGCCAGGGAGCTACCCACATGGTGCAACAGACCTCTCCAGTCTTGCCCACTGAGATCCACCTGCTCTGTTCCCCTCTCTGTCCCTGGTGAATCCTCACACCCCCACACACCTCTGGCCTGTACCCAAGTTCTTTTTTTTAAAAGATTTTATTATTTAAGCTGGGGTACAGGGTGAGGACAGCTTTTTTTTAAAAGGTTTATTTATTTATGCATACAAGAACTGGGGTCTAAGCCAGAGGTGTGGGGCGTAAGAAGATTCACCAGAGGGAGTGGGGAGCAGAATGGCAGATCTACTGAAATACACCACTGAAGGGAGCAGCAGGTGAGGTCTGCTGTGCCATGTGGGTTGCTCCCTGGCCAGCCTGCAGTGGCCGGCGATAGCTTGATAGGGCTGTCTTTAACCCCTGCGCCACCAGGGAGGCCCACTTAGGTTGTTTTCAACTCTTGTATATTATGAATAATGTTGCCATGAACATGGGGTCTAGTTAGCTTTCTAAATTAGTGTCTTCATAATCTGGGTAAATACCCAGAGTGCTATAGCTGTTCTTTCTTTTTTTTTTTTTTTAGAGATTTATTTATTTAGGGCCTCCCTTGGTGGCGCAGGCGGCTAAGCACCAGGCTGTGAAGCTGTCCGCAGCCTCTGAAGCGCTGGTTCGATCCCGGCCGGCCGGTGAGGGTCTCACATGGCGCGGCAGACCTCTCCTGTCGCGCCCGCCGCTCCCCTCAGCAGTGTATTTCATCAGTCTACCAGTTCTGTTCCCTGCTCTGTCTCCTCTCACCCTCCCGTGGATCTGACCTGTACTCCAGTTCTTGTATAAATAAATCTTTGAAAAAAGATTTATTTATGCATACAAGAGCTGGGGTACGGGTCAGAGGTGTGGGGGGTGAGAGGATTCACCAGAGACAGAGTGGGGAACAGAACAGGCAGATTGACCAAAATACACTGCTGAGGGGAGCAGCTGGCAAGACAGGAGAGGTCTGCTGCGCCATGTGGGTAGGTCCCTGGCTGGAGATCAAACTCTCACTGCAGAGGCTGCGGATAGCTTCATAGGTTGCATCTTTTTTTTTTTTTTTAAAGATTTATTTCATTTATTTGTTTGTTTATTTATTTATTTATACAAGCACTGGGTACAGTCAGAAGCGTGGGAGGGTGAGAGAATTCACTAGAGCCAGAGCAGGGAGCAGAGCAGGCGGCAGGAGAGGTCTGCGCGCCATGTGGGACCCTCCTCCGGTGGCCGGGGAGCAGCCGGGGATTGAACCAGCGCTGCAGAGGCCGCGGGCAGCATTGCAACCCAGTGCTCAACCGCTGCGCCACCAGGGAGGCCCCATAGGTTGCATCTTAACCCCTTGCATCAGCAGGGAGTCCCAATATAGCTGTTTCATGTGATCTTTCTATTTTTAAATTTTTTTGAGGCATCTCTATACTGTTTTTCATAATGGCTGCACTAATTTACATCCCCACCAACAGTGTATGAGGATTCCCTTTTCTCCACATCCTCACCAACACTTGTTTCTGGTCTTGTTGAGAATAACCACTCTCATGGATGAGAGACTGTTTTGTGTACCACCTGTCTTCTAACCCCAAATACTAAGTATCCTATCTGACAAATCTCAGATCACATTCTGGGAGGTTCAGTACACACTTTCCCCCACCCCACCCCACCCAGTTGCTGCTGAGCCCATGGAGGAAGACAGCTTCCAGGCCCTGGCTCACTGGAAACTTGGATTGCAAAGGAATTTAATGCACTGGGGTTGGAGGAGACACTGAAATTAGCCAGACTATACATAGGACATAGGACATCAGAGCATAGTCGCCCACGTTTAGCATCTTGTTCAAAAGGGTGGGGGCCTCCCTGGTGGCTCAGGGGGTTAAGTCCCAGCACTATAAAGCAATCTGAAGCTACTGTAGCATGAGTTAGATCCCCTGCCAGGGAGCAACCCACATGGCGCAGCAGACCTCTTTTGACTCGCCAGCTGCTCCTCTCAGCAGTGTATTTCAGTCAATCTGACTGTTCTGTTCCCCATTCTGGTGAATCATCCCACCCCCTGCACCTCTGGCCTGTACCCTAGCTCTTGTATGAATAAATAAATCTTTAAAAAAAAAAGGGGGGGGCAGGCTTTCCTGATGGCACAAAGTGTTAAGTCTCAGCACTATCAAGCAGCATGAGTTCGATCCTGGCTAGGGAGCTAACCCACATGGTGCAGCAGACCTTTCCTGTCTCCCCTGCTGCTCCCCTCAGCAGTGTATTTCAATAGATCCGCCTGCTCTGCTCCCTACTCTGTCTCTGGTGAATCCTCTCACCCCCTACACCTCTAGCCTATACCCCAGTTCTTGCATGCATAAATAAAAATAAATCTTTAAAAGACAAAACAAAACAAAAGGATGGAGCCAAGGCAGTAACCTGGTTCCACTGGGAAACAGGATTCCAGGGCAAGATGATGGCCAGGCAACGAATTGATGGGGGAAGAGAGGGACTCATTCTATTCCGTGAGGTTGATGGATGGAAATGACAGCTGCCCATGTAAGTGGAGCATGGCCCTGGGAGTGCATGAGTCTTCCTGGAGGCCACATGTGTGAAGCAAACGTCATGACATGGTGAGGAGGGTGTGCGGGGTTTGCCACATAAGATGTGGGGGGTAGGCTGTTCCTCACTTTCGATGGGAATAGCAAGAACTGAGGGCTTCCCCTGGTGGCACAGGCAGTTGAGCGTCGTGCTGTGAAGCTGTCTGCAGCCTCTGCAGTGCCAGTTCGATCCCAGCCGGCTGGCGAGGGTCCCACATGGTGCAGCAGACCTGTCCTGTCTCGCCTGCTGCTCCCTTCAGCAGTATATTTCGTCAGTCTGCCTGTTCTATTCCCCACTCTGTCTCTGGTGAATCCTCTCACCCTCCCGCCCATCTGGCCTGTACCCCGGTTCTTGTATAAATAAATCAATCAATCTTAAAAAAAAAAAAAAAGCAAGAACTGAGCAAAGAAAACAGGTGGCACTGATCGTGAAACCTCATAGGTGTGAACTGGAAATGCCAGAACTGAGTAGGTGAAACCAGGTACTAAAAAGCACTTTGTCAACAACTAAGCTTAGTTAGGAGTTTTATGCAAGAGGGGGCAACCTGGGCTCCCGGAGTGGTTACAGGCAGGCTAGGGAGACTGTGCAGAGGTGATAACACTGGGCACACCAGGGCAGGCTCAGGTTGGGGGCTGAGGGCCTGGGTGACAGCAGGGTTGGGGAGGGTAAAACTGGCTGACTGGGGTTGGGGTTTCCTAAAGTCCAGTCCTTGGGGGCTTCAGTTCTCCCCACCACCAGGCCCTGGCTCACTGGAACTTGGGAACTCATACAATTTAGCCAGCCAGTAGAAAAAATACTTTTTTATTAATTATTAGGAATTATCCACTCACTTAATGCAGGTGTATGTCAGGGAAGGCAGGTATTTGCCAGATGGATGAGGAGAAACGTGCAAGAGGAACAGTATGGGGGGATGGTCCCCCACTTTCCACAAACTATAAACAGCA